GTGGGCGTGCGTGTACGGGGTGGTAAAGCAATGGCAACGTCATGGTCATAGGCATAGTCATAGTCAAGGGCAAAGTAGGTGTACAGGCTACAAGCCAAGATGAACATGTTGCCCGAGATTAGGTAGAGCGGCATCTGCCGGCGTCGTTATCATCATCATCGTCACCATGTGTCTGTGTGTTTGCGCGTGGGGCAGACAGGCGGGCCCGTATCTAATACGATAAAGACATAGATAACTACGTACATGCATGCTCAAAGGGGTAAGAAAGCGATTGTACAGTCGATTCCTGTCCTCGGATTCGGAATGATATTGCTGTTTCTTTTGGGGGTGGGGATGTGTTGGCGTTGATGCGTTTGGTGCTCGTGTGGCTTGATCGAGGCTTGGACTTGGTCTCGGATATTAGATAAGGTACCGGGGGGGAGGGGGGGGGGGGGTTTGGCGTTTTGCGTGTTGCATTGTGTGCTGAGTCTGTGAATGAGTAAGGGGAAGAATGACTGCAAACGGCATCTTCATCCATGCTAATACTGCGGTTTCCATTGAATACTGAGCTCGCATTCTCTTTCCCGCCTCCCCCTCTTTCTCTCTGTCCATCTATGATTTTCTATACGTAGCACCAAGCCTTATTTCCATTTTCCTTGTTTTTTTTTAATACCCTTCTTTTCTTCTGCCTCAGCATGTACCTGTTTCTTCTTACTGCACACCACATCATCACTCACGTAGATACATACCCATCCGCGCCATCAATTCCACCATAGACCGCTCTTCTTGCATTCCTCATTCCCAACCCAGGGTTCCGCTCCCACCCTTGTTCTCCCACTTCCATGTCCAATCTTATCAACGGCCCCTCCCCGACTCCGTAGCTTTGCCAGGGTCCCACTCTCCACTCCTGTCGAGTCGCGGAAGAGCCACGTGGGGTACGCTGAACGGACGTTTTTTCCCCAGTTGAGTAGGTTGTCAGCAAAAACCATCGATTGCAGACCTCGTATTCTGGATCTGCCGCTTTGCGTTCACGAGTAATGAGCTGCCCCTTCTTGGGTCGCGCTTGTCAGTGTGTCACACAGTGTGCGTTGCGTGTCAGGGGGGGAAGGGGGGGGGGGAACTGGGATTCCAGCCAGGTCCCGGTAGATAGTCAAATCATAAAAAAAAGCGTTATTATCATAGCGTGGTGCAGAGTAGCGTGGTACAGAGTTCAAACATATATCATTATTTCCCATTCGAGTAAGTTTCCAGCAAAAAGTGTCGAATGTAGAGTTCGCTTTCTTATTCTGCTTCGCATTCTCGAACCTTCTTTTTGTGGATTTATCCTGCTTGCTTCCTTGGGTGGCGGGGGAGGGTTTCCGACTAACGTGTACACTAAGTTAGTTGTCGGGAACGGGGTATGGGGGGGCAAAAGAGACGTAGCGTATGTACATGGGGGGGAGGAGTATGTGTGTGTGTGGCCATGGGTTAAGAATCTAGACATTTCCCAGACGAGTAATTTCCACGCAAAAGTGTAGAATACCGTCGTCGTATTCTCATTCGGCTCCTGCCGTTGGAACCATTTCTGATTCGGCATCTTCCGTTAGTCATCTCTCCTCCACCTCTCTGCCACCTCTTTCGACCGTATCACTAATAACCAGCCTTTTCCCTGCGCCGATCTAGCGCCAATACTGGGGTCAAGCCTCCAAAAAAAGACACCCGTGATTTGTAAGACCCCATCCATCGAACATGGCTTTTCGCATTCTCATTCGCGCCTCATTTATTCTTCCCTTTATCCAACTTACCTATCGCAGTAATAATGCCCAAGGGCCATGGAACATAGTCTTCGTATTCTCTTTCGGAACATGCCACTAGCTCTCCGTGTTTTCTGCTTGCAGTTGCCCAAAGCAGTAATTAAAATGCCGCAGTATGCGGGGGGGGGGGCGAGAGGGAAAAGTGGAAGATTGCGAGCTTTCTTTTTCGTATTCTCTACGGTTGCCATGTTTGTCGTCATTCCGATTAGCCGTTTGCGGTAATTGGTGCGGGTGGCGGGCGAAAAAAAAACACACATACATACACATGCACATACACATACATACTTACATACGTACATCCACAGCTATGGGGGGGCGTGTGCGAAAGAGAGAGAGAGAGAGAGCTAGGTGTAAACTCGAGTAAGCAAACCCCCCCCCCCCAAAAAAAACCCAGCCCTTTAATCTTCAATTTT